CGCGCAGTATTTTATATGTCGTTATCATGTCTCCCCTGACCCTCCTGTCGTCCAGTGTCGTCAGGCCGACTTTCCTCATCCTTTCTTCGTAGGACAATCCCCGTAGCTCTGGGACTAGTCTTGTTGCAAACTTTTGCACTTTCTCTAATTTCTTGACGTGCTTGACTAGGTGTGGATTCCAAACTGGTGCTGCATACTCCAGTATGGGCCTGACGTAGATGGTGTACAGAGTCTTGAACGAATCCTTACTGAGGTATCGGAACGCTATCCGTAGGTTTGCCAGGCGCCCGTATGCTGCAGCAGTTATCTGATTGATGTGCGCTTCAGGAGATATGCTCGGTGTTATACTCACCCCCAGATCTTTTTCCTTGAGTGAGGTTTGCAGTCTTTGGCCATCTAAACTATATTGTGTCTGCAGTCTCCTTTGCCCTTCCCCAATCTTCATGACTTTGCATTTGGCAGGGTTAAACTCAAGGAGCCAGTTGCTGGACCAGGCTTGTAGCCTGTCCAGGTCTCTTTGTAGTCCTGCCTGATCCTCATCCGATTTGATTCTTCTCATTAACTTCGCATCATCTGCAAACATGGACACTTCTGAGTCTATCCCTTCCGTTATGTCGTTCACATATACCAAGAACAGCACAGGTCCTAGGACTAACCCCTGTGGAACCCCGCTTGTCACAGGCGCCCACTCTGACACCTCGTCACGTACCATGACTCGTTGTTGCCTCCCTGTCAGGTATTCTCTGATCCATTGCAATGCCTTTCCTGTTATGTGTGCCTGATCCTCTAGCTTTTGCAGTAACCTCTTGTGAGGAACTGTGTCGAAGGCCTTCTTGCAGTCCAGAAAAATGCAGTCGATCCACCCCTCTCTCTCTTGTCTTACTTCTGTCACCTTGTCATAAAACTCTAGTAGGTTTGTGACACAGGATTTTCCTTCCCTGAAACCGTGCTGGTTGTCAATTATACACTTGTTTCTTTCCAGGTGCCCCACCACTCTCCTCCTGATGATCTTCTCCATGACCTTGCGTGTGTGTGTGCGTGTGTGTGTGCGTGTGAGAGAGAGAGAGAGAGAGAGAGAGAGAGAGAGAGAGAGAGAGAGAGAAGAGAGAGAGAGAGAGAGAGAGAGAGAGAGAGAGAGAGAGAGAGACAGACAAGACAGAGACAGACAGACAGACAGAAGACAGACAGACAGAGACAGAGGAGAGAGCTGATATAGTTAACAGTTCTTAGCTTGTAATCACGTTAGGAAACTTAACCTAGTCTTGTAAACAATGTGTAAAGAGAGAGAGAAAGAGAGAGAGAGAGAGAGAGAGAGAGAGAGAGAGAGAGAGAGAGAGAGAGAGAGAGAGAGAGAGAGAGAGAGAGAGAGAGAGAGAGAGAGAGAGAGAGAGAGAGAGAGAGAGAGAATGAATGAATCCAAGAATGAAATAAAGTTATTTTATAAATATATTGCCAAAAAGATATTTTCAATTACTTTAAACCTAAAATCATTATTGAGACAAACTGAACAATGTGAGATGTACTAAAATTTGTTGAGTGATCTAGTATAGTAGTCGACCTCTTGGCCGTCCTTGTTATAAGGGAACAATGAAGGAAATGGTTATAATCGTAACCAGAATTTTTAAAAGGATGGAGGAGTAAGCCAGTGGAAGGCCTCGGTCAGATGACCAAAACCTCCATTGGCCGGTCATCATATGACTAAGACCCGCGTCACGAAACACTTCTGTTTCCTGACAAACCTGACCTAACCTTTAAGAGGAACATATGTCAACACTAAGAACACCAAGCAATACTAGCTGGAGAGTCTCGGGAGGAGACTCTGTTGGAGACACTGGGCAGAGTACTGGCTTGAAGCAGTACTCGTGCTATGTAAGTCTTGGGCAGAGTACTGGCTTGAAGCAGTACTCGTGCTATGTAAGTCTTGGGCAGAGTACTGGCTTGGAGCAGTACTCGTGCTATGTAAGTCTTGGGCAGAGTACTGGCTTGAAGCAGTACTCGTGCTATGTAAGTCTTGGGCAGAGTACTGGCTTGGAGCAGTACTCGTGCTATGTAAGTCTTGGGCAGAGTACTGGCTTGGAGCAGTACTCGTGCTATGTAAGTCTTGGGCAGAGTACTGGCTTGGAGCAGTACTCGTGCTATGTAAGTCTTGGGCAGAGTACTGCTTGAAGCAGTACTCGTGCTATGTAAGTCTTGGGCAGAGTACTGGCTTGGAGCAGTACTCGTGCTATGTAAGTCTTGGGCAGAGTACTGGCTTGGAGCAGTACTCGTGCTATGTAAGTCTTGGGCAGAGTACTGGCTTGGAGCAGTACTCCTGCTGTGTAGGTCTTGGGACCTGTGGCTAGTGTGTGACTTAGTTCCTGTGGTGAACTGTCCTCTGAACTATATTGTAAGTTATATTCTGTTTCGTCAGTTGGTTGTATTCCCTGTCTCACTGCTTATGTGTACCGTCCCCATTTATCTAAACCCCAATAACGTTCTCCTCTTCCCAAATATATTATTATACAAGGACTTAATAATAAACTGTGTTTGAGTGGAATAGTAATATTCACTGTCCCCATTATTTATTCTCTTATTCATTTATTCATTTCAAGTAGTGAAATCACTCGACTCACCTCTCCTGCCTACTCCTTCCCGATTACTCCCTTTACTCCCACACTTCCCAAGTATCCACATGTTCCAAGACCCCCCCTACATGACACAGGGAGATAAAAGTATAAAATACCGACACAAATAACACAAATGCAGTATAATGTGGTCCTTTATTGGCAATATTTCGTCCACACAGTGGACTTTATCAGTCACAAACAGATCTACCTGGGTTAAGAGTACATAAATATGTAGTGTGGGGAGTCAGGTGGAGAATGTTGGGTAGGTTGTATTCTAGATGGACCTGCAAGACACGGGTGTCCGTGCTAGGCCATGTACTGGCACACTATAACCAACAACAATAATTTACCCAGGGCTAGTGGTTTTGTCAGATGTTAGGCGTTCAACACAACTCCAGAGAAACTCGTGAGTCGTACAAGAATGGTATACAATACCGACAAGATGAAATTAAGACACATGTGCAACATCTGGGTATCTTTATTGTAGACGTTTCGCCATCCAGTGGCTTTATCAATACAAATTCCAGGACATAACTTGAAGACAGTAGGACTATGTACTTGAGTCGTTCTGGCACTCGGGCTATGACCTAAGCGCCAGGAATGGCTCAATTGGAGTTGAAAGGCTTACCGTGCCTTTGTCATAGGGCTGCCCCCGCCATAGGGCTGTAAACAGTACATCACCAACTCTGACACTCCTTCAGGAGCCACTGCAGGGTCACCACACTGTCCTTCAGGAGCCACTGCAGGGTCACCACACTGAGAAGACCTGGGCCAGGACCCTAGTAGTAAACGTACATGGACATTTACCCAGGTAGATCCGTTTGTGACGTGATAAAGCCCACTGTGTGGGCAAAACATGGTGATAAAGCCCACTGTGTGGACAAAACATGGTGATAAAGCCCACTGTGTGGACAAAACATGGTGATAAAGCCCACTGTGTGGGCAAAACATGGTGATAAAGCCCACTGTGTGGGCAAAACATGGTGATAAAGCCCACTGTGTGGACAAAACATGGTGATAAAGTCCACTGTGTGGACAAAACATGGTGATAAAGCCCACTGTGTGGACAAAACATGGTGATAAAGTCCACTGTGTGGACAAAACATGGTGATAAAGCCCACTGTGTGGACAAAACATGGTGATAAAGCCCACTGTGTGGACAAAACAAGGTGATAAAGCCCACTGTGTGGACAAAACATGGTGATAAAGCCCACTGTGTGGACAAAACAAGGTGATAAAGCCCACTGTGTGGACAAAACATGGTGATAAAGCCCACTGTGTGGACAAAACAAGGTGATAAAGCCCACTGTGTGGACAAAACATGGTGATAAAGCCCACTGTGTGGACAAAACAAGGTGATAAAGCCCACTGTGTGGACAAAACATGGTGATAAAGCCCACTGTGTGACAAAACAAGGTGATAAAGCCCACTGTGTGGACAAAACATGGTGATAAAGCCCACTGTGTGGACAAAACAAGGTGATAAAGCCCACTGTGTGGACAAAACATGGTGATAAAGCCCACTGTGTGGACAAAACAAGGTGATAAAGCCCACTGTGTGGACAAAACATGGTGATAAAGCCCACTGTGTGGACAAAACAAGGTGATAAAGCCCACTGTGTGGACAAAACAAGGTGATAAAGCCCACTGTGTGGACAAAACATGGTGATAAAGCCCACTGTGTGGACAAAACAAGGTGATAAAGCCCACTGTGTGGACAAAACATGGTGATAAAGCCCACTGTGTGGACAAAACAAGGTGATAAAGCCCACTGTGTGGACAAAACATGGTGATAAAGCCCACTGTGTGGACAAAACAAGGTGATAAAGCCCACTGTATGGACAAAACATGGTGATAAAGCCCACTGTGTGGACAAAACAAGGTGATAAAGCCCACTGTGTGGACAAAACAAGGTGATAAAAGCCCACTGTGTGGACAAAACAAGGTGATAAAGCCCACTGTGTGGACAAAACATGGTGATAAAGCCCACTGAGTGGACAAAACAAGGTGATAAAGCCCACTGTGTGGACAAAACAAGGTGATAAAGCCCACTGTGTGGACAAAACAAGGTGATAAAGCCCACTGTGTGGACAAAACAAGGTGATAAAGCCCACTGTGTGGACAAAACAAGGTGATAAAGCCCACTGTGTGGACAAAACAAGGTGATAAAGCCCACTGTGTGGACAAAACAAGGTGATAAAGCCCACTGTGTGGACAAAACAAGGTGATAAAGCCCACTGTGTGGACAAAACATGGTCAATAAAGGATCACATCACGCTACTTTTGTGTTTATTTTGTTTCACAACTTTCTATGTTTACACAGTAGCAGTTTAAAAACTTTTACACTGATGTATCATATCAATGTTTACAAGAAATTCACTGATGCAACACTCACCTTGACGGAAATTAAGGGAAGAGCTTTGTTACCAAAGAAATCACGAATAAGTTTTTCTTTTCCAATCAATGCAATGGCATCAGGGTAATTTTCCTGCAAAAAAAAAACCAGAAACATTAGAAAAAAATCATAGAAATAATAATAATAATAATAATAATAATAATAATAATAATAATAATAATAATAATAATAATAATAATAATCTTTATTTCTACATGTACAAGGTGTACAGACCATAGCTGACATCACTTACATGCTACTATATAGAAAGCCGCTTGTTATGCAGAGAATAATTGGCAAATTAGGTCAATTTTGTCCCCAGGATGCGACCCACACCAGTCGACTAACACCCAGGTACCTGCTTTAATTATAGGTGAACATGGACAGCAGGTGTCTTAAGGAAACACGTCCTAATATTTTCACCCGTACCAGGGATCGGCCAATTTCAGTGGGACACTTTCAATGAGACACTTTCAGTGGGACACTTTCAGTGGGACACTTTCAGTGGGACACTTTCAGTGGGACACTTTCAGTGAGACACTTTCAGTGGGACACTTTCAGTGAGACACTTTCATTGGGACACTTTTAGTGGGACACTTTCAGTGAGACACTTTCAGTGGGACACTTTCAGTGAGACACTTTCAGTGGGACACTTTTAGTGGGACACTTTCAGTGGGACACTTTCAGTGGGACACTTTCAGTGAGACACTTGCATTGTAAACCGGAACATCCTGCTGTCCCTTAAATAAAGGGACGCAGTTTTTCGTCACTTTTAACGTCAGAAAGTCTGATGCCTGTGCCATTACGTACAGTGGGTGGAAGTCAATAGATCACGGAGATACATTTAGGCATACTACAGCGGGACGCCACATCTTAAATGCCTCAAAATCAATATATTTTAGTATATATGTTAGTATAGTGGCAGATTTACGACTTTCGTAAACTCAGCTTATTAGCCACTATGTTATCTGTAAGATACATCAGCCATTAAAAATTAAAACCATTCAGAAGAGTCCACAAATAACCCGCACATAGGAGAGAGGAACTTTGACGACGTTTGGGTCCTTTGTGCGGGTTATTTATGCACTGTTTCAGTCATGGTATTATGCCTTTTTATTCTTCATTCATAAGAACATAAGAAAGGAGGAACACTGCAGCAGGCCTACTGGCTCATACTCAGAAGAGAGATATTTAAAAGTGTTTAGTACAGTACATACTGATACAAGAGTAACTCAGCGCCTCGCTCACAAGAGTAACTCAGCGCCTCGCTCACTAGAGTAACTCAGCGCCTCGCTCACAAGAGTAACTCAGCGCCTCGCTCACAAGAGTAACTCAGCGCCTCGCTCACAAGAGTAACTCAGCGCCTCGCTCACAAGAGTAACTCAGCGCCTCGCTCACAAGAGTAACTCAGCGCCTCGCTCACAAGAGTAACTCAGCGCCTCGCTCACAAGAGTAACTCAGCGCCTCGCTCACAAGAGTAACTCAGCGCCTCGCTCACAAGAGTAACTCAGCGCCTCGCTCACAAGAGTAACTCAGCGCCTCGCTCACAAGAGTAACTCAGCGCCTCGCTCACAAGAGTAACTCAGCGCCTCGCTCACAAGAGTAACTCAGCGCCTCGCTCACAAGAGTAACTCAGCGCCTCGCTCACAAGAGTAACTCAGCGCCTCGCTCACAAGAGTAACTCAGTGCCTCGCTCACAAGAGTAACTCAGCGCCTCGCTCACACACTTCACTTGCGCTCAGGTAGAATACCTGATGCTACTTAGAACACGGTTAACCTTTTAGATTATCCAATCCAATGCAGGAAATTTGAAGTGACCTTCATAACACTGATCACATGGCACCTCCACACGTCACCAGTCCTTATCCCTAGACAATGATTCGATATTGAAAATCTGAAGCTGATAGGATGAGGCATTCTCAAGTTACAAACGGAAATGAGGAAAAAAAATGTTGAAAGATAACGCTATGTGGATAACTAATATGCTAAAAAGTCTAGGAATTGTTCATTCAACTTCAGATAGATAGTGATTTATGGGTGACACTCATACTGATATTTACCTGAAAACAATATTTTGTTAGATAAATAGACACAGAAGCAACTTATGTGACAGTTTACTGTGGCAACGTTTCACTCTCCAACTTCAGCAAGTTAGGGTAAGAGGTTTACTCCAGCCAAATTGACATTATACTTATACTCCTGGTCTGGAGTCAGTCTCTCATCAGCTTACTGAGTACACATCCTGAACATCATCAACCCATGTCCATCCCAGAAATGGGTTTATATATCATAACATCTCAGATTAATAACAAGATAATTCATTACAAACTTTGATACACAAGACAATCTATATTATTATTATTATTATTATTATTATTATTATTATTATCATCATCATCATCATCATAGGTAAACGCTAAAAAGACAATCTATAATGGTCAGCCAATAGTTATTATTTTCATGGGGGAGCACTAAAACCACAAGACACACGTTATGGACAGGGAGGTAACCAGGTCTGATCCAAGAGAAAGGTAGCTCCAAATCATTGAATCAAGAACCAGACATGAGGAACCCCTCTTGAAGGGAATGATCAGGCAAGACGACTCCGGCTGCTTGAACTAACCTTGAACTAACCTTGTATTTACCTTGAACTTACCTTGAAAAACTCCAGCAAGATTTCCGGGGACGTGAGTTTGTCGAAGATTTCAAAGGGCATGAAGAGTGTGACCGTCCATGACCTGTCTTGGTTTGGAAGGGCAATCATCATGTACGTCCCTCGCGGCCAAATGTGCAGATAGTTGCATGGCATGGCAAACTGCAAACACAGAAAATTTCCAGTCTTGACTCTATGTAATTTCTTACATTATAACGCTGAGTCAAGACTATGGAAGGTCCCGGGATCATCGTCAACATTTATAACCTGCCACAAGGAAATTTCTAAACTTATAACGCAGGGTAAATTACTGCTGAAGGTCCCAGGGTATTTATTACTAAGTGATTTAATTATTCAGATACAGACTGGGAGAAGTTGAACATTAAGATGAAAGAGGTGTAGAAGAGAGTACAGGCTAGAGCAGACTCGTGCTAGCAAATATTCTGACTCTGGAGAAATGGTCTGTGGAAGCTGAGTCTTACAAGGGGCTCACATATGTACAGTGAACAGGTAAGTTTTTGACTTTTGCTAATTGGCGATATAAGCACGAAGATACAGATTATCAGAAGTAGTCCCTACATAGAGTAGCTCCCCAGTTATATAGTTTATATATAATTCCAGCAAAGGTCCTCGACATAGCAATCTAAGTATGATATAAGTCATACCAGCCTTTTACTGTGAGATTGTCTTTAGTTAGTGCTTTATCAAGCTTAAACTTAGTCACCTTCCTTGTTAAGTTAGTGCTTTATCAAGCTTAAACTTAGTCATCTTCCTTGTTAAGTTAGTGCTTTATCAAGCTTAAACTTAGTCACCTTCCTGTTAAGTTAGTGCTTTATCAAGCTTAAACTTAGTCATCTTCCTTGTTAAGTTAGTGCTTTATCAAGCTTAAACTTAGTCACCTTCCTTGTTAAGTTAGTGCTTCATCAAGCTTAAACTTAGTCACCTTCCTTGCTAAGTTAGTGCTTCATCAAGCTTAAACTTAGTCATCTTCCTTGCTAAGTTAGTGCTTCATCAAGCTTAAACTTAGTCATCTTCCTTGTTAAGTTAGTGCTTCATCAAGCTTAAACTTAGTCACCTTCCTTGCTAAGTTAGTGCTTCATCAAGCTTAAACTTAGTCATCTTCCTTGTTAAGTTAGTGCTTCATCAAGCTTAAACTTAGTCATCTTCCTTGCTAAGTTAGTGCTTCATCAAGCTTAAACTTATCATCTTCCTTGCTAAGTTAGTGCTTCATTCAAGCTTAAACTTAGTCACCTTCCTTGCTAAGTTAGTGCTTCATCAAGCTTAAACTTAGTCACCTTCCTTGCTAAGTTAGTGCTTCATCAAGCTTAAAGTTTTACCTGGACCTGGAGTTTACCTGGAGAGAGTTCCGGGGGTCAACGCCCCGCGGCCCGGTCTGTGACCAGGCTTCCTGGTGGATCAGAGCCTGATCAACCAGGCTGTTACTGCTGGCTGCACGCACAAACCAACGTACGAGCCACAGCCCGGCTGGTCAGGAACCGACTTTAGGTGCTTGTCCAGTGCCAGCTTGAAGACTGCCAGGGTCTGTTGGTAATCCCCCTTAATGTATGCTAGGAGGCAGTTGAACAGTCTCGGGCCCCTGACACTTATTGTATGGTCTCTTAAACGTGCTAGTGACACGCCTGCTTTTCATTGGGGGGATGTTGCATCGTCTGCCAAGTCTTTTGCTTTCGTAGTGAGTGATTTTCGTGTGCAAGTTCGGTACTAGTCCCTCTAGGATTTTCCAGGTGTATATAATCATATATCTCTCTCGCCTGCGTTCCAGGGAATACAGGTTCAGGAACCTCAAGCGCTCCCAGTAATTGAGGTGTTTTATCTCCGTTATGCGCGCCGTGAAAGTTCTCTGTACATTTTCTAGGTCAGCAATTTCACCTGCCTTGAAAGATGCTGTTAGTGTGCAGCAATATTCCAGCCTAGATAGAACAAGTGACCTGAAGAGTGTCATCATGGGCTTGGCCTCCCTAGTTTTGAAGGTTCTCATTATCCATCCTGTCATTTTTCTAGCAGATGCGATTGATACAACAAATTTTTCCCAGTCTGACGAAGCTCTGCCATATGCTTCCTGGTAGCCGTGAAGCTCTGCCATACGCTTCCTGGTAGCCGTGAAGCTCTGCCATACGCTTCCTGGTAGCCGTGAAGCTCTGCCATACGCTTCCTGGTAGCCGTGAAGCTCTGCCATACGCTTCCTGGTAGCAGTGAAGCTCTGCCATACGCTTCCTGGTAGCCGTGAAGCTCTGCCATACGCTTCCTGGTAGCCGTGAAGCTTTGCCATACGCTTCCTGGTAGCAGTGAAGCTCTGCCATACGCTTCCTGGTAGCCGTGAAGCTCTGCCATACGATTCCTGGTAGCCGTGAAGCTCTGCCATATGCTTCCTAGTAGCCGTGAAGCTCTGCCATATGCTTCCTGGTAGCCGTGAAGCTCTGCCATACGCTTCCTGGTAGCCGTGAAGCTCTGCCATACGCTCCCTGGTAGCAGTGAAGCTCTGTCATACGCTCCCTGGTATCAGTGAAGCTCTGTCATACGCTTCCTGGTAGCCGTTTAAGCTATGTAATACGCTCCCTGGTAGCAGTGAAGCTCTGTCATACGCTCCCTGGTAGCATTGAAGCTCTGCCATACGCTTCCTGGTAGCAGTGAAGCTCTGCCATACGCTCCCTGGTAGCAGTGAAGCTCTGCCATACGCTCCCTGGTAGCAGTGAAGCTCTGCCATACGCTCCCTGGTAGCAGTGAAGCTCTGTCATACGCTTCCTGGTAGCAGTGAAGCTCTGTCATACGCTCCCTGGTAGCAGTGAAGCTCTGTCATACGCTTCCTGGTAGCAGTGAAGCTCTGTCATACGCTTCCTGGTAGCAGTGAAGCTCTGCCATACGCTCCCTGGTAGCAGTGAAGCTCTGCCATAAAGCTCCCTGGTAGCAGTGAAGCTCTGTCATACGCTCCCTGGTAGCAGTGAAGCTCTGCCATACGCTCCCTGGTAGCAGTGAAGCTGTCATACGCTCCCTGGTAGCAGTGAAGCTCTGTTATACGCTCCCTGGTAGCAGTGAAGCTCTGTCATACGCTCTCTGGTAGCAGTGAAGCTGTCATACGCTCCCTGGTAGCAGTGAAGCTCTGTCATACGCTCCCTGGTAGCAGTGAAGCTGTCTACGCTCCCTGGTAGCAGTGAAGCTCTGTCATACGCTCCCTGGTAGCAGTGAAGCTGTGTCATACGCTCCCTGGTAGCAGTGAAGCTCTGTCATACGCTCCCTGGTAGCAGTGAAGCTGTCATACGCTCCCTGGTAGCAGTGAAGCTCTGTCATACGTTCCCTGGTAGCAGTGACGCTGTCATACGCTCCCTGGTAGCAGTGAAGCTGTCATACGCTCCCTTGTAGCAGTGAAGCTCTGTCATACGCTCCCTGGTAGCAGTGAAGCTGTCATACGCTCCCTGGTAGCAGTGAAGCTGTCATACGCTCCCTGGTAGCAGTGAAGCTGTCATACGCTCCCTTGTAGCAGTGAAGCTCTGTCATACGCTCCCTGGTAGCAGTGAAGCTGTCATACGCTCCCTGGTAGCAGTGAAGCTCTGTCATACGCTCCCTGGTAGCAGTGAAGCTGTCATACGCTCCCTGGTAGCAGTGAAGCTGTCATACGCTCCCTGGTAGCAGTGAAGCTGTCATACACTCCCTGGTAGCAGTGAAGCTCTGTCATACGCTCCTGGTAGCAGTGAAGCTGTCATACGCTCCCTGGTAGCAGTTTAAGCTCTGTCATACGTTCCCTGGTAGCAGTGACGCTGTCATACGCTCCCTGGTAGCAGTGAAGCTGTCATACGCTCCCTGGTAGCAGTGAAGCTCTGTCATACGCTCCCTGGTAGCAGTGAAGCTGTCATAAAGCTCCCTGGTAGCAGTGAAGCTCTGTCATACGTTCCCGGTAGCAGTGACGCTTGTCATACGCTCCCTGGTAGCAGTGAAGCTGTCATACGCTCCCTGGTAGCAGTGAAGCTCTGTCATACGCTCCCTGGTAGCAGTGAAGCTCTGTCATACGCTCCCTGGTAGCAGTGAAGCTGTTTATACGCTCCCTGGTAGCAGTGAAGCTCTGTCATACGCTCCCTGATAGCAGTGAAGCTCTGTCATACGCTCCCTGGTAGCAGTGAAGCTGTCATACGCTCCCTGGTAGCAGTGAAGCTCTGTCATACGCTCCCTGGTAGCAGTGAAGCTCTGTCATACGCTCCCTGGTAGCAGTGAAGCTCTGTCATACGCTCCCTGGTAGCAGTGAAGCTGTCATACGCTCCCTTGTAGCAGTGAAGCTCTGTCATACGCTCCCTGGTAGCAGTGAAGCTCTGTCATACGCTCCCTGGTAGCAGTGAAGCTGTCATACGCTCCCTGGTAGCAGTGAAGCTCTGTCATACGCTCCCTGGTAGCAGTGAAGCTGTCATACGCTCCCTGGTAGCAGTGAAGCTCTGTCATACGCTCCCTGGTAGCAGTGAAGCTGTCATACGCTCCCTGGTAGCAGTGACGCTGTCATACGCTCCCTGGTAGCAGTGAAGCTGTCATACGCTCCCTGGTAGCAGTGAAGCTCTGTCATACGCTCCCTGTAGCAGTGAAGCTGTCATACGCTCCCTGGTAGCAGGACCTGTCATACGATCCCTGGTAGCAGTGAAGCTGTCATACGCTCCCTGGTAGCAGTGAAGCTGTCATACGCTCCCTGGTAGCAGTGAAGCTGTCATACGCTCCCTGGTAGCAGTGAAGCTGTCATACGCTCCCTGGTAGCAGTGAAGCTGTCATACGCTCCCTGGTAGCAACATTGGCAGTGTGAAAGAGCTTCAGCATTTGAAGGGAACAGTTTTTTCTCTATATGCCAGGCCTAATCTCCGAGCAGTACATTTCAATTATACAGAATAAAGTACCAGCCCACTCCTGATGTTACCAACTTTATTCATTAAAAAGGGTTACAACCTAAAGAAAATGAGAGGAAAGAATTCAGTGAGCTCTCAAAAAGAATATAGCTTTTAGAGATAAACAAAGGTCAGTACCAAATTTAGAAGAGCGGACAAAACAAGAGAACTAATAACTAGTTAAACAATTAGTAAGACGTAAGGGTAATCCTAATAGAACTTGACACAGTAATCAGGACCTGATGTAATAATACTATGAATACTAAGCGAAGGAACAGAGACTATTTAAGTTATTCAGGCAGCAGCTAGAATCCAGCCAGCAGCCAGATTCCTCTCAGTTGCAAGACTCCGGTCAGCAGCTATATTCCAGCCAGCAGCTTCAGAGATCATTAATAATGATAGGTGAAATACTAGACAACCTGAAGATTATAAATTTGATACCAAATTTGAATTAATGTAAAAAAAAGTGTAATGCGCAGAATTAAAATACAAGATATATGAAAGACTTGTCAAATTTCTTGAAAAACTAGATTCATATATCCAAAATGAAGTAAGGATGATTAAAGCGGTGGATGTGTCACCTCCCCTTGTGGCGTAGCTGGTATACAAAGTTCCATGTAGCCGTGAGGAATGTACTGCTGAGAGTAGTTGAAGCGAGGTCTCTTCAGCATCTGTTTCCTCATGGTGGAGAAGGCGCCATCACAGCCCACCAGAAGGTCTGCCTTGGCCTGTACTTCTTCCTGCGTGAGGGTGCTGAAGTGGCAAGGGGATTGTAACAATATATTAAGACACACACACATATATTTGTTATAATCATAACCATAAGTTTAAAATGGGTGGAGAGGTAAGCCAGCGGAAGGCATCTGTCAAATGACCAAAAGCTCCAGCTGCGGGTCATCATCTGACAAAGACCCCCGTCAAGAAACAATTTTACTGTTTTTTATCGTAAGAACCATGTATGACCAGACTTTAAAAACTGGTCGTACATAGTTCTCACCGTGTTTTTTTTTTCTTGCAAATTGTCTTACAGTGTAAGTTTATTCAGGTACATGTACACACAAATACAGCTACACAAATTATCCAACATAGTAACATGTGTAAATTACCAACCTGGATAACCAAAAAAGTCAAAGTGATTTATTTCCACTTGGATCCTTGACTTATTTCCATTGGCGTACATATTCTTTGAGAATATTGTACATAATTATAATAATTTTTGGTGACTTTTGCTCGAATGTACATTGGTTATCGTGCTGACTCGGTTATATATAAGGCGACTGTCCTGAAGCCATTGTTTCTGTATAGCCTCTACGAGCCTGCCTACGTTGTTACTTTGCAAGCCTGCCAAGCTGTTACGTGCTACTTATATGTACTGGGTTGAGAGTATTGCAAAGGTTAGTGTTTTGTTAGTGGTGGCGGGGTAGGCCACAGACGCGTGTAGAGCGTTTGGTGACTTGAGTATACGGGACAAAACTTGCCCAGACTAGCTTTATAACGCTGCTGGCGTATTGCTCGTTCTATTGGCACAGAGTATCAGTGCACTCTTATTGCTGCACAGCTTCACGAGTGTATCTGCAACAAGGTACGGTCTGACTCAGCCACGGCGGCTCGTGACCAGGGCAAAATGTCATTGATGTCAGTTATGGTCTGTATACCGTGTACATGTACTTGTAGTATATAAAGATATGATTATTATATAGCAATCCAAAATACCTCTTATTGATACGAGAATTATTATTCACTTGCCGATCCCCGCTTCAATGTCTTACTGGTAACGAGGAAAAGGGAAGGTACAAAGTCCGATTTACCACCTGTTTCCACAAGTGGTGGAAACAGGTGGTGAATCAAGTTTGCCTCATTGTCAGTCACCTTCGTCCACCATGAGGCCTGGTCACAGACCGGGCAGCGGGAGCGTTGACCCCCGGAACTGTCTCCGGGTAGAGTCAGTCTTGAGCACACCAGGGAGCAGTGTGCCTTCGCTAACGGGGAATTTGATAAGTTTTTGGTTTAATATGTTTATTATACACCCCATACCCATCCTGTGGGTGGTAGTCACCCCATACCCATCCTGTGGGTGGTAGTCACCCCATACCCATCCTGTGGGTGGTAGTCACCCCATACCCATCCTGTGGGTGGTAGTCACCCAATACCCATACCCATACCCCATACAAGTTGTCTTGTGCCAAGTGGTACAAGACACTTGTGTTGTCTAGTACAGGTGACTATGATAGATAATCTCGAGTCAGTTGGGCCAGAGATAAGGTTTTGTTTTTTAGATGACCATTCATTGAAACTGATTTAGAGGAGGCTAGGTTTGCAGACAGCTTCGAGGCTAATTGCTCCTTGTCCGAGCGGTCTACTATCTTTTCTTTCTACCAGGTTGTTATGGACAGAGATCGTCGATGACGGACCTCTGGATTTCGTGCACAGCTGGAAGCTGGAGTTGAGACACGACTCCCGCCTCAAAACCAGAAAGTTACACAAGACAAGATTCCCGAGCCCATTACCTGTTACTACTCTCGTATGCCTGGCCGCGTCAAGGTCACTTGCCTCAAGCTAAGTAAAGGTGCTGCTAGTGTTAAGTAAATCACAGCACGACCTTTGGGGAAAACAACTGTGCTTATATAGATAAAGCAAATCAGAGGGATATAGATTCCTATATGACACCTTTTTATAGTCTTAGTCCAAGCTCCCTTAAGGAGCAGGAGAGTTCCATTGAAGCAGCCACCTTCAGGGACACCAGGACACTAATTTCACATAGAGGTTGTGAAATTAGTGCCCTGGTGTCCGATTAGGAATTAAACAAAAACTGTTCACAACCTATCATCCTCAGTCCCAAGATGCTCTAGAGAGGTTTCACCATACCTTAAAAACTATGATGAGTACGTACTACACACATTTTCCTACAGACTGGGATGAATCACTTCCTCTGCTGCTACTAGCAATGCTAGAAACTGTGCAGGAATCAACAGGGTACAGTCCTTTTTGAGCTGATTTTTGCACATAATGTAAGAGGTCCAAAGCTGATGTGACTGAATCTTGTTACTATAACTCCACTAATTTTTAGTGAAAGAAACTACATTCAATATTTACTCTTTGCTGCCTTTTGCTGTTTCCTAAATTGGTTATCTTGGTGACTCAGTTACAACAGTTGTAGGGTCACCAGACTACAACTGTGTCTTGGTGACTCAGTTACAACAGTTGTAGGGTCACCAGACTACAACTGTGTCTTGGTGACTCAGTTACAACAGTTGTAGGGCCCCAGATACAACTTTTGTCTTGGGGGACTCAGTTACAACAGTTGGGGCCACAGACTACAACTGTGTTTGGGTGACTCAGTTACAAAAGTTGTAGGGTCCCCAGCTAAAAACTGGTTTGGTGATCAGTTACAAAGTTGTGGGCCCCGACAAAAATGGTTTGGTGACCCTTTTACAACGTTGTGGGTCACCGACTCAATGTGTCTTGGTGATCGTTAAAAGTGTGGGCCCCAGACTAAATGTGTCTGGTGCTCAGTTACAACAGTTGTGGGTCCAGTAAACTGTGTTTGGGCTCAGTTACAACATTTTGTAGGGTCACCAGACTAAAAACTGGTTTGGGACTCGTTCAACAGTTGTAGGGCACCAGACTACAACTGGTTTTGGTGACTCAGTTACAACAGTTGTAGGGTACCAGATCAACTGTGTTTGGTGACTCAGTTACAACAGTTGTAGGGCCCACCGATACAACTGTGTCTTGGGACTCATTTCAACAGTTGTGGGTCCCCAGACTACAATGTGTCTTGGGGACTCATTTACAACAGTTGTGGGTCACCAGACTCAACTGTGTCTTGGGATCGTTACCAGTTGTAGGGCCCCAGACTACAACTGGCTTGGTGACTCATTTACAACAGTTTGGGGTCCCCAGACTCAACTGTGTCTTGGTGCCGTTACAACAGTTGTGGGCCCCAGACTACAACTGGTTTTGTGCTAGTTACAAAGTTGGGGGGCCCCGATAAATGTGTTTGGTGACTCAGTTACAACAGTTGTGGGTCCCCAGACTACAACGTGTCTTGGTGCTCGTTAAAACAGTTGTGGGTCACCGACTACACTGGTTTGGGACTCAGTTAAAAAGTTGGGGGGCACCGACTAAATGTGTCTTGGTGACTCGTTACAACATTTTGTGGGCACAGATACAATGTGTTTTGGTGCCTCAGTTTAAAAGTTGTGGGCACCAGACTAAATGTGTCTTGGTGACTCAGTTACAACAGTTGTGGGTCACCGACTACAACTTGTTTGGGTTTGATCAGTTCAAAAGTTGTGGGGCCCCAGACACAACTGGTCTTGGTGACTCAGTTACAACAGTTGTGGGTCACCAGCTAAAAACTGGCTTGGTGACTCAGTTAAAAGTTTGGGTCACCAGAAACAACGTGTTTGGTGACTCATTTAAAAAAGTTGTGGGGCCCCCAGATACAACTGTGTCTTGGTGATCATTACAACAGTTGTGGGTCCCAGATACAACTGTGTCTTGGTGACTCAGTTACAACAGTTGTAGGGTCCCCAGACTACAACTGTGTCTTGGTGATCAGTTAAAACTTTGTGGGCACCAATAAAACTGTGCTTGGTGAACTCAGTTACAACAGTTGTGGGGGTCACAGATAAAAACTGGTCGGGTGACTAGTTAAACAGTTGTAGGGCACCAGACTACAAACTGTGTTTGGTGACTCAGTTACAACGTTGTGGGGCACCGATACAACGTTCTTGGTGACCAGTTAAAACAGTTGTGGGCACCGATACAAACTGTGTCTTGGTGACTCATTTTACAAATTTGTAGGGCCCCAGTAAACTGTGTTTGGGACTCATTACAACATTGTGGGCACCAGACTACAACTGTGTCTTGGGACCAGTTAAAAAACGTTGTGGGCCCCAGATAAACTGTGCCCTTGGTGACTCATTACAACAGTTTGGGGTCCCCAGCCAACGGTCTTGGGACTCGTTACAACAGTTGTAGGGTCACCAGACTACAATGTGTTTTGGTGACTCAGTTACAACAGTTGTGGGTCACCAGACTACAAAACGTGTCTTGGTGACCGTTACAACGTTGTAGGGTCACCGACTCAACTTGTTTTGGGTTTGATCAGTTACAACAGTTGTAGGGACCAGACTACAACTGTGTCTTGGTGGATCAGTTTAAAACGTTGTGGGTCACCAGACTACACTGTGTCTGGTGACTCAGTTAAACAGTTTTAGGGTCACCAGACTACAATGTGTCTTGTTGATCAGTTATAACTGTTGTGGGGTCACCAGACTACAACTGTGTCTTGGGACTAAAGTTTCAAAGTGTGGTCACCAGACTAACTGTGTTCTGGTGACTAGTTACACAGTTGTAGGTAAACAGATACAACTGTGTTTTGGTGACTCAGTTAAACAGTTGTAGGGTCACCAGGACTACAACTGTGTCTTGGGACTCAGTTACAACATTTTGTGGGTCACCAGACTACAACTGTGTCTTGGTGATCAGTTAAGTTGTAGGGTCACCAAATACAACTGTGTCTTGGTGACTCAGTTACAACAGTTGTAGGGCCACAGACTACAACTGTGTCTTGGGACTCGTTACAAACAGTTGTGGTCACCAGACTACAACTGTGTCTTGGTGACTCGTTACAACAGTTTTTAGGGTCACCGGGACAAACAACTGTGTCTTGGTGACTCAGTTACAACAGTTGTAGGGCCACCAGACTACAACTGTGTCTTGGTGACTCAGTTACAACAGTTGTA